TGGGTGGGAAGAGATCAACCAAAGAACTTGTATGTGTACATGCATAACCCATGGACACAGACGGTAGGGTTGTGAAGGCCTGGGGTGGGGGATGGGGGTGGGCTAGAAGAGGTCAATGGGGAAAAAAGGGGACATATGTAATACTTTCAACAATAAAGATTTAATAAATAAATTAAATAATCCTATTTTCCCTTTAATTAAAAAAGTAATTTATGTTCACTTTAGAAAACACAGAAGAGAAAAAGTAAGATAACATAAATCATTTATGATCTCCAATTTAGAAATATCAACACAATTAACATTTTGATATATTGTCTCAAATCTTTTCTCCAGGCAGTCATATGTGTGTATCTGTTTACACACACGTACACTTAGGTTTATGCCAAAAATCAGATAATTATTTTTGTATTCTTTTGTCCTTTTTAACAAAATGAAGTTTAGCAAACTTCTTATACCCATTTTTTTCCCCTAACAATGTATGGTGAACATTTTTTATATCAATAAACAATTTTCTACTTTGTCATTTTAAAATAGCTGCCTTGTCTTTAATCATAGGATTGCTCTATATTACAGTGCGGTTTAAATATCTAAACAAGCACCATCCATTGCATGTGGTTGTTAAGTCTTTAAAGTCTCTTTTAGTCTACGAAGGTTTCTCAATAGTGGCACTACTGACATTTTGTTGTTGTTATTTTTACTTTTATTTTTAAATTTATCTTTATTGTTGGAAGTATTACCAAGGTCTCCTTTTTCCCCCATCAACCCCCTCCTCTCCACTCCCGCCCCCTCCTCAGGACCTCACCATGAGCGATGCATTTATGCAGAGAGTAAGTTTTTTGGTTAATCTGTCCCCCCACTACTTCCATCTGAAAGCCGTCAGTCTGTTCCATGCTTCCACGTCTCTGGATCTATTTTGTTTGTCAGTTTATTTTGTGCACTAGATCCCACATACAAGTGAGATCATGTGGTCTTTGTGTTTCTCTGACTGGCTAATTTTGCTTCATATAACAATCTTCAGGTCCCTCTATGTTGTTCCAAAGGATAAGATATCTTTCTTTTTTTCAACGGCATAGTATTCCATGGTGTAAATATACCACAGCTCTTTTGTCCTCTCATATATGGAGAGGCACTTGGCTGATTCCAGATCTTAGCTTTTGTAAATAATGCTGCTATGAACACAGGCGTTCATATATTCTTTCTGACTGGTGTTTCAGGATTCTTAGGAAATAGTCCTAGAAATGGGTTCACTCGGTCAAATGGCAATTCCATTTTTAATTTTGGAAACTCCACACTGTTTTCCAAGGTACCAGTCTGCATTCCCAGTGGTGCCCTAGGGATCCCTTCCCCCACATCCTCACCAGCACGTAAAGCCCTTGTTGTGAGCGTGGAGGCAGGGAGGAGGTGAGCAGGGGCGGTTGTCCTGTGTTGTAAGATGTTTGGTGGTTGGTAGCATCCCTGGCTTCTATTCACTGGATGTCAGAAGCATCTTCTCCCCTGCCCCCACTAAATTGGAGAAAACCAAAACTGTATTTAAATTTTGTCAAATATCCCCTGGGGATAAGGCCATCCTTCATTGCTTTGAGCATGGTTTGGCCACTACCACTCTCCCCCACCTTTTTTTACATTTCTTTGACATGTTTAAAACTAGGTCAAAGTCTCACCTTCTGCATATCTATTTACTCATTGTATCATTTAATTTGTTCTTCATATCCTGTATTTCCTGTAGACTGGAAGTTAGTTCTAAAAGCTTAATTAGATGCAAGTTTGATTTATTAAATTATGTTAACTATATTAAACTATATATTCTATAAACTATATTATACTATATTACTATAGAAAATTTTGCATGACATCAAACAGGGTTATCAGATTTAACAAATAAAAATACAGAATAGCCGAAACCGGTTTTGCTCAGTGGATAGAGCGTCGGCCTGCGGACTGAGGGGTCCCAGGTTCGATTCTAGTCAAGGGCATGTACCTGGGTTGCGGGCACATCCCCAGTGGGAGATGTGCAGGAGGCGGCTGATCGATGTTTCTCTCTCATCGATGTTTCTAACTCTCTATCTCTCTCCCTTCCTCTCTGTAAAAAATCAATAAAATATATTAAAAAAAAATACAGAATACTCAGTTAAATTTGAATTTTAAATAATCAATAAATAATTTTTCAAGGTAAGTATATCCCAACTATTGCGAGGTACATATTTATACTAAAAATTATTAATTATTTATCTGAAATTCATTTTTAACTAGGCATTTTGTATTTTATCTGACAACACTAATCAAGAGGCAGATATTGTTTGATTATTCCACTCTAAGCAATGCTAAATTGATCAGTGTTTCATGTTGCAAGAGCTTGATGCTCTATTCAAATTTATCCCATCAATCTTTTATTATTTCATCTTTTGATGACTTTGTCTGAATTATTTTTTATTAAGGCTTGCAAACAGTTTTGCTAATCATGTCATTTCTTCTACATTTATTCCATGGATATTTATTTATTTATTTATTTATTTATAGAAGAAGTTTTTTTGTCAATTAGGATAAGAGTGCAAGGTAGAACTGAATAGAATAGAAATTCAAACCTGGATCCTCTTTCTAGTATACATTTTATTACAGTCAGTGAAAAAAAAAAAAACCAAAACTATTCACTTTTGACCTGTTGATGACATATGACTACAAATAGTCATAAGCCAGCAAGCCTATGGTTTATAATTAGCAGAGATGTAAGATGGTAGAACTATAGGTTGTCGTGGGAGTGATGCCTGAACACTAAAGCAATTCTCTAAGCAGAAATAATAAAAGCTCTAGAGATAAGGGGTAAACGATGGTGTCCAGAACAAAAAAGAGCGATGCACAGTCTAAACATTCTTCAAGTTTCCCTCACTTTTCTTTTATGCTGGCCACAAATTCTGAGTAACACACATTAAACTAATCCATGCAGCCAAGTACACGCTACAGATGTGCCATAGAGAAGCACATTGCTTGTGGGTTCTGAAAAGACTAACGTATTTGTTCACAGAGTGCAAATCTCGAATGTCATCTCCAAAGGAAGGCGGGGGAGGATGGGTGGGTGGGAGGTAATCAACCAAAGACCTTGTACGCATATATGCGTAACCCGTGGACACAGACAATAAGGAGGTGAAGGCCTGGGGAGGGATGGAGGGGGGGTCAATGGGGGGAAAAGGAGGACATATGTAACACTTTCAACAACAAAGATTTAAAAATGAAGTAAAGTGTTTGTTGACAAAGAGACTGTGACAAGCAGGTCAAAGAAGACTCTATTCAGCCATGTGACTGCGGTGAAAGGTACCTATAAACCAGAATTAGCAGCACAAGGAATTTATCTTCCTTTCCATTTGGTGACTTTATTATATTGCATTTCCAGTTAATTAAATTTATAGTTAATATCCTGTGGTTAGAATTGTACAAAAAAAGATTAGAAGACCATATCTTTCCTATATTTTACGTATCTCAATAGGGCAGGCAGGCCATTAGTCATAAAAGACAATATTCTATGATACTAATTACCGTAGGAATTAATTGAAGAGTATGGTTTTGGGTGATCATTTTCCTAAGTACAAATACAAAGACAAGATCAATCGTTTTCATAAATAATGAACAATCAGAGAAAAGAGTTGTCTAACATGTCTCTAGTGCTCTTCAAGAGAGCATTTATTTTTAAAGAAAATTGTCTCTAAGGGGTGAATGATTTATTAGGTGTGACATCATGATAGAGTCATGAGTTAATAGCTTATTTATATCTCTTAATTATTTATTAAAGATCTAAATATGCTCTGCACTG